TAGAAAAAGGTACTGGCGCTCGCCGTTTGGCATTTTGGCCGCAAAACAAACGACAGTGAAGTCTCTAGCTGAAGGCTAAACGAACTGACGCCTCCTCGGCTTCCGGTGAGCCTCTGTGAGACAAGGGCTTCAATTCGACTGAAAATTATATGTGTAAATAAGTACTTTGGATCTGCACGCTGGGAATGCAGGGTTAACAGCCTGAAACCCGTCCGCCACCAGACAGCTGAACTTCATGACGCCCTTGTTGGTTTGGCCGAATCACAGCAGGCAGACCCTGGCGCGCGACATGAAGCTCGTACTCTTGCAAGGTAGCTCACTGACCTTAAGTTTCTCGTTTCCATTGTTGTGCGGTACGACATTATTTTTCAAGTTAATGTTGTTACCAAGAACATGCAATACAGAACGAAGGACATCGTAGAAACCACCCAGCTGCTGAAAGAATGCAGCGATTACATTGACAATTATCACGATGTCGGGTACGAAACTAAACTGGCAACTGCGAACGGCCTTGCCGAGAGCATGGGTGTTAACAGTGTTATAAAACCGGCCCTTCGACTGCGGCGGAAAAAGCGCCAATTCAGTTATGAGTGCCAAGACGAGGTTGATGATGTCGTGACATAATTCAAGCGAGAGTTCATCTACGAAATGTTTGACACCGTGAAGATATCGATTGAGGAACGCTTCACGCTGATGGAGCAACGCGTGAGCCTCTGAGGGTTCCTTTACTACCTCACCCGACTTCCTGACAAAGCAGAACTTCTTAAACTGTGCCAAGGCCTTGACCACGCACTGAGACACCTAGAAACTGCAGACATAGATGGTACAGATCTCTGCGAGGAGCTGATCTACCTATGCAGCCTGCTGCCCACTGGATGCAGTGCTCCCCAGGACGTCCTCCAGTTCATTCTGGACAACCATCTACGTGACAACTTCCTTTATACGTGGTTGTCATTGAGGATCCTCCTCAATTTGCCTGTGTCAGTGGCCACCGCTGAGAGGAGTTTCTCAAAATTAAAGCTTATTAAGACTAACCTAAGATCAACCATGGCAGATGACTGGCTATCGTCATTGGCAGTTTGGTCCTTTGAAAATAGGATAGCGTCTAGCCTTGATATGTCGCAAGTTGTAGCCTAACTTGCGATGTTGAAGGCCCGGAAGGTTGCTTTCTAGGGTATCTGACATGGTTAGCTTGTGCTTTTGTTTTCTCTGTTCATCAGATGTTAGGTTGCTATGGGAGGCCCACAGCTGAAAGTCGGTTAATCTGGGAAATAAATGTATTTGAAGGATTTGAACACGGTGCCGACAAAACTCTCCATGCTCGCGAACGTCGTTCGTTTGAAGGATGTGGTTCGTGACTGACAACGACAAAATCGCGATCATTCACGCTGGCTCACTCTGGCATGTTTATTAACAACGTGATGTTGGGCGCCCAAATAGGGGGGAGGGGGCGCCACCGCCGCAGTTTGCCTAGGAAGCTTGCTGCTCTAAGGCCGGCACTTCCTCGTGGTTCTCGAGCGAGCGCCGAGTCCTTTGCTCCAGGGAGACGTAGACGTTCTGAAGGCTCTGTTCAGGCGTTCATGCATTGTATCAATAAAGTCGCTCGAACTGATCGATCCAGTCCGCGATGTCTTCGTAGACGTTGCCGTGGAAAGAAGCCGCGGTCCGAAGGGCACCGGGCAGTTAGATGACGGGGACGGCGTCAGGGGTTTGCGACGATTTGTTGTTAATAGTGGGCTTCGTCAACTAGTGTTTTCTCCGGCGGCTTCCTCGGGTCTCTGTAGTCTCCTCGGACGGTCTTCTTGAACAGGTGGCTGGGCTTGCGCTGCTACGCCTCGGAGGGGCTTCATGAGCTGCGGATACCCTTCACCTTCACCAGAAATCTCACAGATAGAAAATGGCTCGACAAATGTAAACTGAAATTAAAGGTTTTATCGGCAAACTTGTACCAACCAAAATAAAAATCGAGCGGCGAGACAGCAGAAAAGCGGGCGGCGATTTGGCGGCATAGCAGCAAGCGAGAGCGAGAGCGACCCGACAAGGTAACGTGCAGCTCCTTATCTAGTGTGCGTCATCATCTCGAAAATTCGGCCTAGAAGGTTTGAGCATCATGCGTTCGGGATGAGATTGAAAATGCACTTTCGAGAACAAAAAAGGAAGACGAAATTATTAAAGTTACGTCCCGAGTAAGACTAAGCTCGAATCTTCTAAAATTCCGTGGCAGAGCGTTGCTTGCTCGGCCCTGTGCGCGGGAATATTTTGACTAGTGGCAAGATACAAAAATCAAAATTATTTTTTCGCTTCTTAAAAGTAATAGTTCATTCTAACTTTTCTCTGTTGTTGTGCGTATCTAGGCTAATTTTAACCGTCGAGTGCATATCTTCAATCTAACCACCTTTATGATCTTTTTTTTTATCTGAGTATGTTCTTCAATACTCATTAGTTCCGGTGTTCAATATTGCCGATCTATTTTGGAAACACAGTAACAGATTTTTTATCAAAATATTGTTTAAGATACTTTGTTTTCCTTGCAACTAATACACATAAGGTTTAAGTCTCTATACTGCCGCGCGCGCAGCTGACCAATTAGGCAGCGCCCTCGTGGCCTAACGGTTATCGCGCTTGCCTTCCACACAGGACGCCAGGGTTCAATTCCTGGCCGCAGGGACGCATTTTTGTTGACTCTGTAATGTAATGTTCCGGTGAATTCGACAATCGCCTTGCTGCTTCGAGATCAGAATGTTCTTCGCGCCGAATCTTCTACGTCGATTGTCCCAGAAGCCAACGCGTGTACATAAGGGGCTCCGCGTGGTGAGCCGGGGTCAGTCTCGCCTCACCGCTTTAACCTGCTGTTACGCCGGCTTCGACGCCCGCGACGCTCTGCTTTTATTTTCTGGGTTCCCTTTATTTTTGGCACAAGTTCATCCCAGTAAACGTTAATTTCCTCCTGTTTATTTATTGTTCTTCTAATCACCACCCGTGACAATATGGTAGTATGTTCTTAAAAATGAAAGGTGAATCTCAGCTTTGCGTAGCGAAACATATGGGATAATATAAAATATTATGTTGGCTATGTAGTCTCTACTTTGTTTCAGCTGAGGTCCGAGCTCGGCCGATGTTATGGGCCGAAGTGCCAATCAAACAACGAAAGAGGCACAAAGTCATGACGTGCTCCCTGCAGTTGATAGGACTAGCGGGTGTTCGCCATCTCTCTGTGCGTGCTACTCCACCGGCTAGTCCTATCAAGCTCAGAGATCACGCCATGACGTTGCGCCTTTTGCGTTGTTTCATCGGACTTCCGGCTCATAACATCGCCCGCGCTCGCACGTAAGGTGAAACGAAGTATAGAAGCGTGTTGGTTGAGTTAACTTTGAGTTGCAATGGCACCGAAAGAATAAGGCACAGGTAAGACGAGGGACGAAGTACTTTTCTTTTATGACGTCATTGCATGTGGCGTCATTGCACCGTACAAATAGTGGGTAATCACTGGACGCGATATTTGAACGCGCTGTTTACTGCGCTAAAGTCACCGGATCCTGGAAAAGTAGCGCCACTTATTTCCCTGCCTGCTAGCCTGACACAAACAGATGCTAACATACAGGCGACCAAACCTCACAAGCAGATTGGGTGATCAGTCTCACCCACCATGGGAATCGCCAATTCGGTCCATTCAAGTCTTCGAAGCTTTGAAAGGGTTGTTCTGAACCAGTCGCACAAAGATCGTTCTGGTGCATCATCGTACTGAAAGCGTTCCCTGTCAATATAAGCGTCCTTGGCGCTGTGCGTGCAGTCCACTTATCCATACTGCTCATCTCCACAAGTCTCTTACACTGGTACTATGGGTTTTGCTTATTCAAAGACAAATCATTTATTTTCTTAACGTCACCAAGCATCCGCGGCACGTGTTTGCGGTGCAAATATATGCCTTACTTAAGATGGAGGCTTGGGCGAATAGCCTATTCATGACTTAAAGGCAACGGGATTTGCTATTTGCTATCACAGTGCATACTCGGGGTTGCAGTTGTTATTTATTATCTCCCGAAGGCGACAATCTTGAGGGTGTGCAAAGTGCGTGTTGCAAGCGTTGTGGAAGCTTGCCGTCATCAAGTGCTCAGCAGCAGCAAGCTCAGCTATAGCTACCAGTGAATTCTACCTATTGCGACGTGAGCGATCAAGAGCGTCGCTGTGATTGGCTTTCCACGATAGCCCGAATGCTGACTATGACATCGACAAAATATTTATCATCGGCGGAAATAACCGCCGATGATAACCGCCGTGAGCTCATGTAAGAGCTTCAAATTCGAAGGTGTTGGCAGTGATGGGTTCAAAGCGGAATGATTTCAAGCTTCCACAATGCTCATTACAGACACCATCGAAATAGTTGTTCGCAAGGTAATAACGTCAGGAGAGGTAACCATAGGAGGGCGCCACCAAAACATCTCGCCGCCAATAGACCCTTTTATTTGCAAACTCCACAAAGCGGTGCTCCAGTCTTTGACGTCCTAGCGAACTTACGCTTTATAAAAAGAATGGACAAAGCCCCATTAACACCGCTGCTTGAAACGTCTATGAAACATTTAACCACCGATTTTCCATGTGAACGCCAAAACAATCAACAAACGCGAGTTCTGTTAAAAATTTCGAATATTCTCGTAAGCCGACTTGTCCCCTCCAAGAAGTTAAAGCGTAGTGCATCCGAAAGCTCTCGCTAAATCTTCAACTTTGTTTTCCACATTTCTAGAACTCGACAGGCTTACCAAGACGGATCGATCGGAAATCTCTTGGGATGCAAACAGCGGTTCATCTTCGTAAACAGCTAAAAGGTCTATACGAAGGGTGTACGAATGGCGTTATGTTCATCTCCACCCTTCGTCCCCTGCAGAAACCGATGTGTAGAAAGGGTTTACGAAGAGTGTCCATCTTAAAATAGCACCCTTTTTACACGAATACGGTGCAAAAACCTTTAGCTTGTGTATGGGATATTATGGCAAGCCATGTACCTGCGGTAGGTGAATGGGAGCGAACCTCCTGTTCGGCTTGGTACGTGGTCTGGGCGGAAGCTTAATGACCCTGTAGAAGCCGTACAACTGGAGACACACGGTGGTGGCCGCACCCAGGAAGAAGGCGATGACGAGGCCCACGTACACAAGGAAAGACATGCTGGGGATTCTTCGTCACTGATCTCGGTGGCGAAGTGATCGTTTCGGATTACCCCCCACAGTACTCCCCTGTTACGCAATCTCAGTACTGGCCACCAACGGCTGTTGTAATGGCGGTGTCGTTGAGCGTTCGATTCTTCACACTATGGCTACGGTGCTGTGGCAGCTGTTTTTGCTGCAGGCATTCACACGCGCGGAATGAGAAAAAAAAAGACTAAACTAAAGCCTATAAAAAAAAGAAAAAGAAGTGCTAGTCTGCTTTAGGGTGCCTTCATGTGCACTTTGCTTAGGGTGATGACAATTTGGAGTACTCGATGCCGACAGCACGCGCTCACGTGCGGCGATCGCTAGAGACGATATGTCTCGACCGCAAGGTGCACTGAATCTACAAATAGCAATTGCCAAGGGGCACTGAACGTACCGCGGGCCTAGAGTTCCTGTTTAGGCTCCCTACGGGAGCCAGAGTTGCGCGTTCATCCCCGTAGAGCCGTCTTTCCTGCACGGCATGTTGATCCTGCTCCTGACGTGACTGAATTTGGCGAATAGCGGCACCGCGCGTTCGAGGCAAGCGGCGCGCTCAAAAGCAGGGGAATGTACAGTCAGAGGCAATTTGACCTGCGACAACGGAGCGAGCGGCCACAAGAAACAATTGCCGTATGCAGCGCTGCGTTCGCTTTTTTCGCGCTGAGGAAGAGGCTACGGGAGCAGTCCACGTTTCGCTGTCGGGGGAGGTCGAGTCAAAACAAACGCCCCTCGCGCTAGAATGGCCTTCTATATCATATCAGATAAGCTCTTTTTTGCACAATATTTTTCCTGCGTTTTATCTTTCGCGTTCTCTTTGTAAATTTTCAGTGTAGTTCCTCAAGGGGTCAAATGCTTCGCTGTTTAATTTTGATCATGGAAAGAAAGTTAAGAATGACTAATAGTTCATTTATAGGCGTGCACTCAATATATGGTAGCATGGAAGTTTTCCTAATAATACTGTGACCGCCCAAGGTAAAAAACGACTTCATAAGGATAGTTTTTTCTGTGTCGGATTCTGTGTGCGTGTGCTCGGGAATTTTGCGGCTGCAAGAAGAGAAACATTTTTTTCAGCGTAGACTTTATTTCCTCATACCACGAAAAGTAATTGATTCGTCCTAGAATATATTGAAATAATAATTCGATTCCTAATCACATCTAGCCAGAAATTATTTCCAGTAAGCTTAAAAAAACGAAAAAAAACAACAAAAAACGTGGGCATCCGACACTACTAACCGCGCACTCTCGCTCCCTCAATGCTTATCACCTCTCGAATGCGCTTGGGTATGGGCTCATAGAGGTTGCTGGCGAGGCTCGGGATGGACTCGAGGTTGGTCCATTCTTGTTCGACTGCTTCCCAAAAAACTTCTGAAGAAGCCTGATGAAGGTCCCGCGTAAAGAGATTCCGTTTCATTAGTCCCCATATGTTCTCGATGACATTTAGATCCGGCGACCTTGTTGGACATCTTAATTGCCTTACACCTAAGCCGTCGCACAGGCACTGCACCCGGCCAGCCGTGTGAAATGAACTGTTATCTTGTTGCGAGATAAAACAGCCGTCGGAGAACTGACCATCCAAGGCGAAAGGAAGCACGGTATAACAGAGTATGTCACATTAGTTCTCCGACATCAGCCTTCCGTCGATTCGCATAAGTGGACCCAGTCCTTGCGCTGTTATGGCCCCCCATACGCTGACCGAACAGCGACCGCTCGATGGCACTTCTTGCACGTAGAGAGGGTCATACCTGTATAAAAATAAAACAGCACGTATTCACTCAGCTAGAAGAGGGAAGGCCAAGATAAGTTCAGTATGTGGTTTTCGGTCTTACCGTTTGCAAGTAGGACGCCACACAGGTTTCTACTGGTCCCATACAGACGTTCACGTAGACTCGTCTGTGAAGATGACTGAGGCCCAGTCGCTGGCATCCCAGTGCCGGTGGGCCTCTGCGGATGCAGGTCTTTGCTCCTTGTGGCGTGAAGTCAGGAGCGGTTTTTGACATGCAATACGACTCCGAAGCCCCGCGTCGTGAAGCCGCCGCCTGATGGCTCGGAGCGAAGCTTGAAGGCCCAACTGCCGTCGTATTTTTGCTGCTGTTATACTTGGCTGGTCAAAAGCTGCACTAGCAATCCGCTCGTCCTCCTGACGAGTCGTTGAACGGGGTCTTCGCCTGTGCGCCTCATCAGCTATACGCCCTTCATTCCTATACGTTCGCACGATGCGATTTACAGTGTTCAGTGCGTATTCAAATCTAAAAGCTATAGTTATTTGACTTTGTCCATCCCGATGCAGGGCAGATATACTAATTCTATCTTCTAGTGGCACCCGTGACATTACGGCAACGTCTGTGAGTCGCCTCAAGATCAGCTTATCTTATAAGTCGGGCTAAAACAAAGATAAAAGCATATCCCATGCTTCCAACGCCCGAATAAAAACTAACAAACTTAAGCAGTCTTCGCGACAAATTGTGATAAACCCATCGTCCAGCACTTGACAGAAATTTGGCGCTTACTTTTCATGTGTTTGCAAAATTTGTTTTATATTTCTGAAACAAAACAATGAGCATGTGGGCTGTAAATCTGGCATAACATTTTTACAGATATGTGAGGAAAAGGTATACAGTTACTTTTAGTTATATATTTGTTAGGCTGAACCGCGAACCGTAAACTTAGATCAAGTTGGAACCATTCCGTGCGAAAGAACTGATGGTAATGCCCGACGCTTTACAAACTCATGTTAAGGTATGAGCGCCAGAACGGGAGCAAACCGGGATAGCCTTGCCAAGGGAACAATAAAAATACTTAAAAAATATAAGTCGGCGTATTTTGCTAACCGCTTCAAAATGCCGCGCCGCATAGCCGGCCCTTCGTCATGTCTCCCTTCCGTCTTAATCCCCCTCCCCCCCCTCCCTGTCCCCCCCCCCCCCCTGCTTCTACAGAGTGGACCAGTCCGTCGAGTCTCGTTCCCAGAACACCGCGGCGACCGCTGCGCCCCATGCGGCATTTTGCCTGCTCCGCCAGCGTTCACGTTGTCGCAGGTCAAATTGCCTCTTACTGTACTGTCGGGGCGCGTGCAACGTCTACTTTCCTGCACGGCACTTGATCCGGCTCCTCATGTGATCGGATCTCGGCGAATAGCGGCGCGGCGGCACGTGGAAAACAGACGCCCAACTCTGGCTTCCGTAGGCAGCCTGTACAGGAACTCTACGCGGGCCTAAAGCCCCTCTATCCTGGGAAAAGTGGCGCCAATCATTGTTGTAGGAATGCTCGAGGGACGTGCAGCGCGCCATTTCTGGGAAATTCATGGCGTCTGAAATCCAGCCCAGTGCTGCCCTGTGCCGCCATGACCTTCCCAAGGGCTGCACGTTGCACGTGCCTCGTGCATCGACGCACCTTGGGCTACTTTTGAAATATGAAGGGTCTTTAAATACCAATACCACCTAGAAGACAAGGCCTGCGCATGACGTCATGGTTAGTAGATCCCCGACCCGCCCCAAGTGGCAAACAACCCGAAGCGTGACGAGCAAGGAGGTTAGAAGTACTATACTTCGTTTCAGCTTCGGTCCAGACGCAGCCAAAGCTACAAGCGCGAGCTCCGGGCTTTCAGCATCCCTGCCAAGCACGCGCGCTCGTGCAGTGCAACCGCTGTTCTGGACAACATGCTCGCGCTTGTAGCATCGGCTGCGCCTGGATCGAAGCTGAAACGAAGTATAGGAGGGGGCACGTTGCAATATTGGTGAAGCCTAGTCATAAAAAGTGAAAGCCGTTTACAACTTCCTGTAACGCCGAATTGGAGCGCAGCTCTTGAGGAGGAGGAGTGGAGGGTATATTCCTCCTCCTCCCTCGTGATCATGCCTGCTAGTCCTCCTCCTCTCCTGCTCCCCCTCCCTCTCCTTTACCACCTTCTCGTCCCAAAGCTCCTCCCCTCCCCTCGCCTCCGCCTCCTCGTCTCTCCTCCCCCCGTCCTCCACCTTCGTACTGCTTTCCTCCTTGCCGCTCAAGCCGGAAAGGGTCGCGTAAGAGCTGTGCTCTGAAATATAGAGTCAGGACAAATAATTTGGAGGGTTGAAATTTTATTGATTGGGGAAAAACCGTGGTGTATATTGGAAACTGCGTTGCATATCCGGGCAAGGTTTACGCTAATAACGTACAAAGCCAACGTACGCAATTGTTATACCAATGTACCTTAAAGTTTGCTCCGCGAGTTTCCAATTTACGTCCTGGATGAAAACCCCATTATTAATTTAACTAAACTGCCATGATCAGCCGGCGTGGCATGATGTTCAGCAGCCTCTCCAGTGTAGCAGCCAACCAGGACATGAAAAAAAAAAAAGCATGTAGTTAAGCAGTGGGCAAATCTTCCCAGGGTTTATGCTTGACATCCACGCTTAGGCAGTTGGAAGTTAAAATGGTGCCTACCTTTTTTTGTCTGCTGTGCGTAAGCAGCAAAACTTTTCAGTTCTAAGCTTACAAGGGTTTCAAGGTGACGTGATCACCAGACTAAAAGTGTGATGGACACTGGAAGATGGGCACTCGGCCGAGTATAATGTAAAAAAGAAAACACTTATAATAAGTGAAACAAGCGTAAAAAAAGACACTTTAGAGAAGCTACAGGGAGGCACACCATCTTAAACTTGATAAGGGACTTACCCCAAACATGGTGTTGTGATTTGTTTAGATCTGACGCAAGATGAACTTCAATACTTGATGATGAAACAGGGTCATGAAAGTCGTCACATGCTTGGAACACACCTATATTAAATGTAGGGAAGCCGGTCTGAACTGTGTTAATGACGTTTACAATGTTTTCGTCGAACGTCTTAACAATGCTGTCGGCCATGTTAAATTCGAATGAAAAATATTCAAGCTCTAGATACTTAGAGTGTGTAGTTCCAGTAGCAAAGGAAGGAAGAGCCCCCGAGCTATGACATTCCCTAAGTTCCAAATGTGCTCCAAGCAAGGGGGGGGGGGGGGGCGGGGGC